GAATAGAAACTAAAATGCAGAAAATAATTCATGAATGACACTTAAATCAGAGCCGTCGATTTACGACGCCTCCTGTGATAGATGCGCTAGATTTTCGTGCCGATGTCCGCATCAATCTCACCCTGTCATTGTCATCCATGCTGCATGAGCTAATGTATACATTTGTAAATCTTTAAAATTCTCTAAATAGCCCAAATGCGAAGCATTTGTGGCAACGAGGAAAATCTGTAAGTGCTTTTCTTAGAGTGGAGAGAAGAACCCTGAGCACTCCTTTTTCAGTACAACAGGGAAAATTCAAATATAAGCATCAGTGCGCATCTTTCTAGATGCATTCGGGAAATAATATAAATTTAGAAGAGGACATGATACCTATGTGCACTTTTTTTAAACGTGGTAGAATAGAAGAACCCCCCAATCGCAGTGTTTCACGACACCAAGCATACACACCTTTTTAAGCATAGTGGGAAGACTTAGTACTCTAAAAAAACCCTATGTGGGAGAGATGCCATAAGGTTATTGAATTTTATAGCAACAGTGGACCCAAATAAGACAATATTATAACATAAATTGAAAAGTAAATGTAGTTAAGCTAAATCTGGAATCACAAAAATAATTAAATGCTAATGAAAAAATAAAGAATAATATTGAGCTTACAAACTTGGCAAAAGACCTCCCTCTCGCTACTAAGAACGCTCTTGAACCTTAAAAAAAGTACATGGCGAGCTAAACTTAAAATGAAAATGAACTCAAATGAGCTCCTATTTGTAGATAGAAAGAGGAACCTCTTGTGAGGCCCACCTGAACGAAACTCAAGTCACAAAAAAGTGAGGAATTCCAACACATGACACTTGAAATTGAATTGGCGAAACACACAAGCAGACAACATGCGAGCAAACTAATACACTTAAAATGCTAAATCATGAGCACACTCCAATATTAGCACATTCACGTGAATAATTACCACATCAGACCTTCACACATCTGAAACAGTTGCAATCACATGAAAGGTTTCCAGACAAGACAACCATCAAACCTATTGCACATCTTGGGTGCATGAGTAATTTAAATGAAGCAAGTATTAATTCTAATAGCAAAAAAGGGAGCTCATACACATCCCGTGAATAATCCGTACATCCTAAGAGCGCCTTCCAAAATTTACCTCGGAACTTAGTTCGTTAAAACTCCCTCGCCGAATAAAGAAAAGCGAGTGGAGGCCGGGGCCGAATTTTCGGAGCCCACAAATGCACAATTGTGATGAAAATTTTTCGAGAAAAAAGTGGAGCACAATTGTGTCACGAGTCACACAACTATTTTGACAAAGTAAGCACGAAATGTCGAATCAATAGAAGCAAGTTTGTTCAAATGTTTATGAATTTGTATGTTGCAAATGTACCGATGAGCCTACAAATGCATTGTGCAAGTGCACCGAATATCACGCAAATATGCAAGTGCATCGCTTAGGTGGATCAAAAAACGTGCAAGCACATCATGCAAGTATAGGGAGAAATATACAAGTGCATTGTGCATTCGTGAATCATGCAAATAGGCCTTCACCATAACACCACAGCAAAAAACAACAGTGTTCTTGGTAATGATAAAGGGTTATCTGTTGCAGATTCATAGTTCCTAGGAGTGCCTTTCAGTGTTGCCAGACAATAGAAAAATCATAAATAGGCCTTCACCATAAAACAGAAACACAAAACACTTGATTGAGTTGCTGCTAACTAATGTAATATAACAAACGAAACGGTTTGTTTGACAACATCATATACACAAACATACAAAAACTGAGTAATAGCTAGAACCAAAAAATTATAACAAACACACTAACGTTTCATTTTTTATAGCTTTTGGCCACTGCTTTTTGTTGCTTTTAAGAAAGTTTTATACTAGAAAGTAGTAAAAAATTTTCCCAAACAAAGCCTAAGATGCTCATAGCTTTCAAAGTTTGAGAGAATGAGAATGAAACTATAAAACTTGTTACAAAAAGCTAGAAGCTCAGATAAGGATGAAATAAACCATTATAAGTCTAAATATTGTGGAAACTCTGTGAAACAAAGCCGAGACAAGAAAAATAAAAGACAGAGTACACAGACAGAAATTAATATTGCATATCTCAGGTAAGGTACATAGGCTCCTATATATAGAGCATAAAGAGGTAGGCGGTACATAGATAGCAATAGGACTTTTAATTACTAGGAGGTTTGTCTTGTTGCTCTAATATGCCCCTGCAAACTGATGATCCGGATTGGACTGTCAGTTTGAGTCGGAGTTTGTGAAATCTAGGTGTGGATAGGGGTTTGGTAAGAATGTCCGCTACTTGATCAATGGTACTGATCGGAAGTAACTTGATTGAGTTATGTTGGATGTGATCTCGGACGAATCAGTGATCTATCTCAATATGCTTCGTACGAGCATGGAACACCGGATTATTTGCGAGAGCTATAGCAGACGTGTTGTCACAGTGTAGGTTGGTTGGTTGGTGTTGGTTGATGCCGAAATCTGCAAGGATCCGACGAAGTCATAGAATGTCCGCGGTGAGAGCTGCAAGGGCACTATACTCAGATTCGGTGGATGATCGCGCGACCGTGGTTTGCTTTTTGACCGTCAAGGATATTAGATTGTCTCCAAGAAATGAGCAGTATCCAGAAGTGGATTTTCTCGAGATGGGATCACCCACCCAATCAGCATCTAAAAAGAAAGTGAGACATAGATTAGATTTCGTAACTGGTATTCCGAAGTCAATCGTACCTTGGAGGTAGCGGAGAAGCCGTTTGAGCATATAGATGTGTCGAGGCATTGGATGATGCATGTGTTGGGATAGAAAGTTGACGCTATATGCGATATCTGGTCGAGTTAGCGTCAAGTATTATAATGAACCTGTGAGCTTTCTGTAAGTGTGCGGATCTGAGATGACGGGTTCTAGAAGAAAATCTGGCGGGAGCTTAGTACATGTGGGATTGGACAAAGAATTGCAGTTGGTGAGCTGAGCCAAAGCCAAAATAGATTTAGTGTATTGCGGTTGAGATAAAAAATATGAGTTATCAATATGATCTATTTTAATGCCAAGGAATGAGCGTACTTCCCCAAGTTGTTTCATGGCGAACTTAGTACCGAGCTGTTGAAGGACCTTACAGATTGCTTCGGGATTGTTGCCAGTAATGAGTATATCGTCTACATAGATTAATAGGAAAATTTATCTTTATGACGGAGAATCATGTGATGGATCAGATGTATTGTGGTTGAAGCCAATGAATTCCAGATATGTGGTGAAGGTATTGTACCATTGCCTGGGCGCCTGTTTAAGCCCATAAATTGCTTTGTGAAGGAGGCAGACATAATTTGGATGTGTGGCATCCTCAAATCCTTTCGATTGTCACATATTCACAGTTTCGGTGAGAGTTCCATGGAGGAAGGCGTTTTCAATATCAAGTTGTTGAACCGACTAGTTGTTATGGAGAGCTATAGTCAATAGTATACGGATCATAGGTAATTTGGCTACCGGATTAAACATTTCTGTGTAGTCCAAACCGTACTCTTGGTTGTTTCCTTGAGCAACTAGGTGGGCCTTATATTTGGCAATCGAGCCATTTGCGTGGAATTTGGTGCGATATGTCCATTTGCAACCTAATATAGATTTGTCAACCGGTTGAGGGACCAAGCTCCAAGTGCCCTGTTGCTGTAAAGCAAAAAATTCGGAGCCCATAGCATTACGCCATTCAGAGTGTTTGTTTGCTTCTTGATAGGAAGTGGGATCAGTCCGAGAAAGAGAGTTATACTGTTGAAGAAGCAGATTTAGACGAATCCTAGGTTTTAGAGAGATGGTTTTGTGTCTGGTCTGCATGGGGTGAATGGGCCGTTGAGTTGGGAACGTATGAGGATGGAATAAGGGATGCTGCGGTATGCTGGAGGAGATAAGGAGCATCCGTGGAGATGGAACTATTTTGCATAGGAGGCTGCGTATGAGGGGTGAGATGGGAGTTAGTTAATGTGTTGGAGGGCTGAAGGGTGGAAATAGGAGTTAGAAACAGAGAGGAGTTGTCATAATGTTGTTGTTGTGCAGCCGATTTGATTTGAGCAAAAGGAAACGTAGTCTCATCAAAGTTAACATGCCTAGATATAATAAGTTTGTTGGTGTGGAGATCCAAGCATTTGTACCCTTTGTGCATTGCATTTGAGAATATCCCAGGAAGACGCACGTAGAAGCCTTGGGTTGAAATTTGTTCCGAAATTGAGGTGGAATATGAGGGAAGCAAGCGCAGCTGAAGGTTCTAAGATAAGCATAGTCCGGTTTCATTTTAAACAGAAGTTCGAATGGAGATAGGTTGCTAGAGTTGGGAGACGACATCCAATTTATAAGATAGGTGGAAGTTAGAATGGCATCTGGCCAGAAAGTGTAGGGGATGTTAGCAGTATTGAGGAGAGTTCGAGTAGTTTCTATGAGGTGCCGATGTTTTCTTTCGGCGACCTTATTTTGTTCAGGCGTATAGGGACAAGATTTTTGGTGGGTAATGCCATGCTGAGTGAGAAATTGAGTGAAAGAATTGCTAGAATACTCGCCGCCACCGTCAGTGCGAATGTATTTGATCGTGTGCGAAGTTAATTTTTCAATGTTAGTTTTAAAGTTTGTAAAAATGGTGAAAACTTCGGATTTGAAACGCATAGGAAAGAGCCAGGTGAATCTCGAGTAGTCGACAACGAATATAACGTAGTATAGGTTTCCTGTGTTTGAAGCAACAGGAGCAAGACCCCACACGTCAGAATGAATTAGAGCAAGAGCAGAATTTTGTCTATTAGAAGATAATTCAAATCCAAGTTTATGGCTCTTGGAGTTATTACAGGCCTGACAAGAGAACTTATGATTGTCTATATGCAGATGAGAATTACAAGATGCTATAGTAGTAAGGGTTCTTGAATTAGGAAGGCCCAATCTGTGGTGCCACGGGATCAGCTTCTTGGTTGAAGTATGGAGCGTGCAGTTGGTGTTGGAAGTGGCAGAGGGCTGGATCGGGTAGAGCCCGTCACGACATGGTCCCCGAGCAGATCCTTAAAAAGAAAACTATGTGGATCAAATGTGATTGAAATATTATTGTCCTTGGTTAGTTTTGAGATGGAAAGTAAATTATATTTAAGAACAGGAGAATGTAAGATTTGAGACAGGGTTAGCTTACGAGAGGGAGTCGGTAGCAATCCCCTGCCAAAATTTTCAATGCTAACCGAGCTCCCGTCGCCAATGATGATACCGTCAGTGCCGTTGTATGGCGTTGAGATGGAGAGATTGTCCAGCGACTTTGTCATGTGTGACGATGCGCCGGAGTCGAGGTACCAGTCAGTGTATTGTTCTGAAGAGTCCGCTACGAAGGCTTTGGTGAGGAGCTGATATGGCATGGGAGTTTTGGGATGGGAGTTTTGGGATCAAGAAATGATTCGAATCCATTTGCCCGACAGATCTTGAAGATTTGCAAGCGCCAGAGCTGGTAGTTGTCGGGAGAGAGAGGATTTTGAACGATATGTTTGAGGTTAGAAAGAACAAACTTGAGGGACGAGGAGATCGCCGACGAAGTAGCAGTCGTCGTCTCCATTTGTTCGCTAAGCTGAGAGAGAGACGAGGAAGCCATCGATACCCAAGATCAGAGAGACGTATTTGATACCATGTGGAAACTCTATGAAACAGAGCCGAGACAAAAAAAAACAAAAGACAGAGTACATAGACAAAAAATAATATTGCATATCTCAGGTAAGGTACATAGGCTCCTATATATAGAGCATAAAGAGGTAGGCGGTACATAGATAGCTATAGTATTTTTAATTAATAGGAAGTTTGTCTTATTGCTATAATAAATATAACACCATAAAACCAAATCAAATTGAATCAGCACTCCATTTAAAAATTATGCACATTTCTAAACTTCAATAAGTTGCACAGTTCTAATCTCCATCAATAAGTTAGAAGAATAATAAATATTGCTTGTTTGCAATTAACTAAATGGAAATAAGAAATATCCAAGGAATTAAAAAATGTTTTAAATTATTATATCTTGGAAATGTTAGGAATAGGAATGGGGTTAGGATAGTAATGGATAGAGAGTGAAAAGATAGAATTTTTTACATGACCGAATTATTAGTAGGCTGAATGTTATTAAGATAATTATCAACGAGGACATCACCTGCGTAGTTAGTGCATACTTTCCTCAATTTGGATAAAATTTTAAAAAGCTAATATTGAAAAGAGATGAATGAACTACTGTAGTTTATACTTGAGGAAGAAAGGAAAATCATTAGAGGTGATTTAAAGGGGCATATAATTCATAGTAAGATGGGCTAGGAGAGGAATTATTATGGATATAAAAAATAAAAATAAAAATGTAAATTATCGAGAATTATAAATTTTAATAACATAGAAGAAATAAGGAGGAGCAGATCTACTACAACATTGATAGAACTTGTTCAAAATAATCTGTAAATAATAATTTCATAGTCATGGGCAGCGCTCAATTGGAATGAAAGAATAGCGAGGGTTCACAAAGTTGACCTCAAATAGTAGGGACAATGCTGATGACAACGAAGATGATGATATAATCTAATATAGGTGTTGCAAAGTTCATGATGATTTTCACATTAAAGGACATCTTAAAACTAGAATTATAAACAAGATATTTTCATTCATGGTGACATTTTTTTTAATTAAATAGTAGGTTTTCATCAAAGTGAAGCATTTAGCCGAATCATACTCTCTTCAACGGGTCACCGCTAGCAATCTTACTCTCGATAACAAGCAGCCCACCAAAGATAATAGAATTTCCCATCGCCGCCAATTCTTATCCTACATCCTACTAAATATTCCGAAAAATAAACAAGGCCATATTCACATTGACCACATGTTCATTTTCTTAGCCACGCATTGCAACAAATTACAACATATAGCAAATGTTGTACGAAGCATTGCCAAGGACATACCTGAAATTTCACTAAAAGACAAACCAATCCGGCAGATTTGAAGTGCATCTTAGAAGAGATTTGTACAATGAAAATGACAAGATACCGGAAGTATAAGCTCAAGCACAGATATTGCTGCGATAATTCTACTTTAATTTCCATAAATGCAATAAAACCTTCTCAAATACACTTTCTACTCGAAATAAAGCCAGCAAGGAATAAGAACAACCCATGAAAGTTGCAAACCTGCAACCCGCTTCCAATCATACGATTGACAGCATTGTTCCCGCCTCCTCCAACGCCCACCACTTTGATTTTCGCAGACTCGACGGGGTCTAAGGAGAAGGAGCACCGCACTGTAGAATGACCTCGACGATGACAACTCTTCCAGTGGCTACATGGAAAAGAGATCCATGGGTAGAAGAGCTTTGGAGAGGAGGAAGAAGTGGAAGAGATAAGGTGGAAGGCATTAGCAGGGTGGAGGGAGGAAGCCATGGCCGCTGGAGCTTCAAGGAGCGACGATTTCGAGCCGGAGGCTTTGTTTTTAGGTTTTTGTAGGGGTTTAGGGATTTTTTTTTAATTATTTCTCATTTGTGAATAAGTTAAAATTTGCCGCTTCTTAAGAAATGGTGATAAAATAAACAAAATTATATATATATATATATTTGGTTCATTTTAGAAGTATCAATACTTGATGCGACCCAAAATCTGACTCGAACCCAACTCAATAAATTTCAGATTTTGATTGACCTGAAATCAACTTGGAATTGACTTGGGTTGCATCTGCACGTACACGACCCCCAGCTCGCTCACACTCAAGCTTCGGTGCTCTCACCTGTGCTTGTGCTGCCCCCATGCCTGCCCTTGCTATCGAGGTTCGCTCTCGAGTCCCGCCTGCCTGCGGACATGCTACCAAGCGGGTTAGGTCTAGTCAACCCGTTAACCCGCACTGATCGGTTTTAGATCTAGCTTTATGACCTATTTACTAAATCGGATCAAAACCGGATTCGAGTTAGCTGAATCATACTAGGGTCAATTCTGAGTTCGACCGGAACCTGGTCTGAATACCCATTTTGATTAAGATTTAAATTAAATTACTATTTATATGAAAGTATTCAAAATAGTTTATTAAAAAGTATAATAAATATGCACATACATATATAAATTGGCACTAATTTTCTTTCCATAGAGCAGCTAAGAATTGGATGAGCTCTGCATCTGCAACAAAACCTGTAAGGCAACAATATATAAAATGTAAGTCGGCTTAACCATTAAAACACTTACTAAAACTTCATTAACACATTAAACACCCACAGATACATACACTTTATTCTTAAATATTGAGCTCTCACAGCTACTTATAACAGTCATATATAACTATAAGACAATACAGATTACAGCCACATCAATCACTGTTATTGCATGTAATTAGTTAATAAGAGAAAATCCAGAAGGAATCAGTTGGAGAAATCCACTTAATATCCCACCAAGTAAACCACTTGCAGGCGACAGAAGCTGCAGAGGTGATTGAAGGAATCCAATGGAAGGCAGTGAGGAGTCGCAGGTGGAGAGAGGTGTGTTCACTATAAGCTTACAGTCATTCAGAAGAGTTGAAAAGAGAGAAGATAAGAGATTAAGTGAGAAGTCAAAAACTCCATTGGTGTTTGTAGTTGTTGTAGAGATCACACTGCTCCCGCATTGGAGCGCCATTAGAGCATCTGCATGGGAGGATAATAGCACTTAGTTTTGTTTGATTTGATGAACACCTCTAATACTTCAGAAAAAGTCATTATCTCAGTACAATAAATTTAATACAGCACAACATCAAGCTTTTGTCCCCATACGTGGAGAGATTATTCTGTGCCGACATCGGACGGGAAAACTGTCTGCAGGTACCGCTTGGTACCGAGTTGTACCAGCGCTCGGTACCGAGTGCGGTACACTTTTGGGGTGACGTGGCGCATTTTCTCCATTGTGTCATGTTAAAAGTCAAATTCTTGTCTAAATATAATATAGAAAGTTCATTTCTAATATTTTCTAACCAAATTTTTTTAGGTCTACCTCTACCTTTCTTAACATAAGTTAATTCTAATACCTCAACATTTCTGACCAGTCGTCGGAAGGCCTCCGTTTTATGTGACCAACCCATCTAAGGCGACTCTCTCTAATCTTATCTTCGGCTGGAGCTACTCCAATCTTTTCACATATATGCTCATTTAGTATCATATCTCTAAACGTAAAGCCACTCAGTAGAATAAATTTACTCAATACAAATAATTCTCAATAATTATTTCAGGCAAACTGAAACTTACTTGGAAACACAGGTGTGATGGCAGTGGGAATGCTGACACTGCAGTGAACTGTGCCATTAATGTGCACCTGCCCAAGCCCAAGAAGCTGAGCTGTTGCTGTTTGTGAGGCCATAACAGAAATGAGAATGGCAGCAAGGAGAAGATACTTATTAGAGGCCATTAGTACTATTCTTTGCTCTTGCTACTAAGTCTTTGGCTTCTTGCCTTTCTGTGAAACATTTATGTGAATTTATAGGCTCTTGAAAGATAGAAAGTATTGTGTGCGGAATCCGAACGTGTTCGAAGATGAATTCGGGCATGCCACGTTACCGGGGCATAGTGCATCCGATGAAGTGGCGCATCCGGATTCGTCTCCGAATGCATTCGGATTCCGCACACAATAATTCCTCTTTGAAAGGACTCCTACTCTCATTTCCAGCCTCATATAGTCCTCTCGATGGATTCCACTTGAGGATTTGAAGGATAAAAAGGATCTCTCATGGAGGAGAGAATATTGATTTGCTAGCAAGTTGGCGTTGGAGAGCCTCCTCGCTAGCTAGTTAGATCAAGCTTTAGTGCTCATGTCATTGTAACTGGGCTGGTCCCAATTGGCATAATTGTGTAGAAAATTTTGGGATTTGGATATTTTGCATATATGTAATAAGAATAATTAGTTTTTTTACTAATTGAGCATAATATATATAAGAGTAAATTGATTTATAAGTGAAAATAGGAATTATGAAATTTTACTGAAATTTAATTAGTATATATTGCTATGTGCAGAAAATTTTTTGAAGATGCATACAAAATGTATGCTTTTTTCCTAATGATATTCTTCTTTTTGATAAGATCATAAAGGGTGTTGAAGGTAAACTTTAATTATGGATGTCAACCTTAGAGTCTAATAGTTTTTGTTTGAGTAGATCTAGAACTGAATACATGGAGTGTAATTTTAGTAGTAGTAGATCTATTCAGGGGATTGTGACTTCGGACGATCAAGTTATTAATAAGAGTATTTATTTTAGATATTTTTAGGTTTATTGTTCAAAATGATGGTGAAATAGATGATAATATAATTAGTAGAATTCAAGTTGGATAGTTGAAGTGGAGGAATGTATAGGGCATATTGTGTGATAGAAAATACCCCTCAAATTTAAGGAAAAATTCTATAAGATGGTGGTGAAACCTGCAATATTTTATGGAGTAGAGAAATGAAAATCATATAATTCAAATAAAGTTCAATCAAACATTGTTCAAATCTTGTTCAAATTTGACTCAACCAAAGTTCAAATTCGAACAAATTCAAATCAAATTTGTTTGTGACGGACTTCAATAAACACTTTGCTTATACAAAAAGAAGTAAATTTAATTTCCTCAATTTTGAATATTAAGGGACATTAAATCAAAATTCCTCTCATTTTCTTGCCATAAAATTGTCATCTACTTAAATTTGTGGACTAATTATTTTGTGTGGACACCGGACAGAGAGAACCATCCGAATTTATTGTGCTTTACTACTATTTTGTTGCGCTTTTGCAAAAGGGCAGAGAATATTTAATATTTACTAAATAATTGAATATTTGTTGCACTTTTGCAAAAGGGTAGCACAAGTGCAATAAAAATGCATTTATAATTGAATATTTGCCGCCCTTTTACAAAAGCGTATCAAATCTGAACAGTTCTCTCCGTCCGGAATCCGTACAGAATAATTTCTCAAATTTGAGACTCCAGCAAAGAAATCCTAATCGCTAGTAGAGCTCCTAGCTAGAACAACTTGTAGCTCCAATGCATGTTGTCATTTGGCAGCTTCTTCCGCATGCACTATTGGGCTGGTCCCTATGTACATAGTTGCTTATCTAATGATTTCTAAATGATTCATATAGGCTTTTATCCCAATAAAATTTTATTTTTCTTCTAAAAAAATCACATTTTTTTACTTCAATTATATATATAAGCAATATAAAATAAAATTTGATTGACTAATTCAATCATTTAAAATTTCATTATAATTAAAATTTTATCATAATAGTTTTTTATTTTTTTTTAAATTATTTAAAGATGAGTATAATATTTCTATTAAGCCATCTCTCTCTCTCTCCTTTCATTAGTTTATAGTCTTGAAGAGCCATCAATCACAAGAGAAACACAATGAAAATTTGAATTTAAGCATCCTATAATGCTAGAAATTAGAGAAATATATTTATTGTTTTACTTCTTCGGAAAAATGCTTAAAAGTTCTATCGGAGTCAAAATTCCTTCGCTTTAAATTGCCGACTACTTTTGAAGCATTTAAGGACCAAAATTAAATCGAATACAATTCAAAGAAGATCTTTCGAGGTTAAGACCATATGCAATAAAAAAATTTTGATTTAGGCTTCGTTTGAGACAACTTTCTTATTTCTTTCTAAAGCAACTTTTTAGTAAAAAAAAAAAATCTTGAATTAGAAATTCTTGTACTAAAAACTGTCTTAAAAAACAGTAAAAAATATATCCCAAACAAACCTTTACACTCAAACATTATTTGAAGCTTAGTCAAATAGCAATCAACCTTATTTGAACAAATATATATATATATATATATATCAATATTCAAACATGGCTTGGTTCACATAAAGTTTGAACAAAAAATTATTCATACAATATTCATATAGTTTGAATTTATTGCATAACATAATGCAATCTCAACAGTTATAAAACAATAAATTATAAGACAAACACAATAAATGATAAAATTGCAATAACAAGAATTACATTAAATAAAAGGAATTACATCTCATGGCTAATGCCCTTCTGGCTTTAGGGTTTAGAGAGCAAATATATAATAGTGCCGAAGACAAAAACTTTACAAAATTTATAACATCAATAACTTTCAATGACAATGGTTCATTAGCCAAAGACCTAAATCTTCTTTTTGGAATTTTGCTTCATAATAATTATTCGTGAATAAGAATGCTGCTAGAGTGTCTCTATGAATTTAAAAATATTTTAATCCGAATAAAACTTTTATGAATATTTCTTTAAAAAATAAAATAACGGACATATTTCTCTAATTTTAAACATCAAGGGGCATAGAACATTGAATTTCCCGAAGACAAATACACAATTATTTTTTTATAATGATTGCTAGAGAGAGTTACAGGGGTAATTAAGCATAAAGAATCATCCTATAATTAGTAAAAAAATTTAATTATTCAACAACAAAAATTGAGGAAAAAAAAAACTAAGAATGAGTTGACTGTAAAAACTAATATTTAGAATTAATTAATTAATTTTCAATCAATATATTTTACAATATTTAATAATAAATTTTAGGATATCATCATATTTGAACTTCTTTGGGGCTGATCTATGATGCATTTATTTTTTATTAAAAAATGCAAGCAATTGATTCATGCCATCTTACACCATATGCACATACTCTTCAAGCCTCACATCTCTAGCTATATTATTGCTATTGCTTGCATTGCAATAATATCAAATTGATCTTGGATTATTTATGAGGGCCATTTTAATCACATACTATCTAATAATCCGATTTATTTCATTGACTTATCAAATTTGATAAAAAAATAATCCATTGACTTCTCGAATGTAATCCAAAATAATTCAAAATATATATTTTTTAGATCATAATTAAAAAGTCAAAAGATCAAAATAGATAAATATGATCGAAATGAATTCATACAAATAGTCTGAGGATCATTTGACCTTTTCCCTGATCTTAAATAGTACAATTAGTGCCTAAGCACATCTCTCCCTCTTGGATTTTGATCCTATGGAGTCAAAATAATCGCAGGGTTATTGTCCGCCAAAACAGATTCTCTGAATCATGATTAATTATTCTGTGCGGTTGCCGAATGCCGTTCAGAGGCCTACGAAAATGCACCACATCACCCTTGCGCTCAGTACAGTTGATGTGACACATTCTGGTTGGTCTCTGTACAGCGTTCTACTTCCGGCCTCCGTACAAAATAATTTCTCTTGAATCATTCATAAACATGAAGCTAAATTATAATGAAAATTCATATTTTAACTTCAAATCAAGAGGAAAAAAGACAGATTTATACTACTAAAGACAGTTCATTGACATCTATAAGTTTCCTTGCAAAACAACTATAGGCTCACCCCCAAAATTTTCCTAACAGTATAACCATAGTAATTTCTAAGCCTCTGAAAATAAGGAAAAGTTCATTAAAAAAAGGAAAAAAAGTTCCATCTTTCATATAACTAACCTTCAAACTGCTTCCCTTCAAAGGTTTGCCCAAATCTCCAGTTGGAAGGAGCAATATTGTAAGAAGTCACTCTTCTTCCACTACTTCCAGTAACCTCAAAAGACAGTGGTTGGCCATTTAAATCTGCATTACAGTGCCAGTTTTGTCCCCAATTCCTTCCCATTGGTATCCAACCAGTGCTCTTTCCCTTCACTTTCACCTCGGCAACCTCCCCGTCGAAGCCGACATTGGTGATGAGAACCTGGTAGAAGTATGAGCTCCCTCTCACTGTAAACCTCATCTTCCCACTTCTCTCGCACCTCACTCTGCAACAATTACAATTATTGCAAGATTTGTTAGAACACTATTGATGAGAGATTAAGCATGGAAGAAATTAGTTTTATGGAATGTGATACTCACCTTCTGTAAATTTCAGGGAGATTGTCAAATGAAGGTTGTGCATGAGTTTTTTCTTGTGTTTTTATTTGAACTTCCTTTTGTTTGTACAAATTGTAGGGAATTATATGGAACAATTGAGAGCATACACATCAATAATTTTATACAACTTCTAATTGTTGACTATATTCAATTTTCATCACTGCATATTTTACTATGATAATGATCATGGAGCTTTCAAACCTCAATAGCTTAAATATCATCTATTGATGTCAAAATACAATGAAATATCCAAAATGCTCTTGATAAAATAAATCACAAATATTGAATGCCATTAGGATTTAGGTTTCGCCCCTACACTCTCGAGAGGGAGAAATTATTCTTTACGAACACCAGATCGTTCGGAGGCGAATCAGAATGCGCCACATCACCTGCTACATAGCCGCGGTACATAACAAAAAAGTGATGTGACGCATTCTGATTCGCCTCTGGACGGCTTCAAAATAATTTTAACTCGAGAGGGGGACTCCTTGCCCCCTTCCCACCCCCACAATGATCTTATCATGAACATCCATTTGCTATTGAATATATGTAGGGCATTTCTTCACAAGATATTAATAGAACTTCACAATTTATCATTGATATCACATTGTATCAATAAAAAACATTTTGAAACCAATTATACTAACTCAATATAAAAAAAAAAAATTATTGTCACATTCCACATAATTTCTAATCATTTCAAACTTTTACTCCAAGACAAAAAAATCAATACGAAGTTACATACAATTTTTCCCACAACAACTTCACAATCATTTCGTAAAAAGTTATAGCCATCCCAAACAGGCCCCAAGCATCAATGTCAGTTTGTTTTATCTGTTTTTTAGTCAATATTGATTAAAACAACTCCTCTGATTCATTCAAATATTTAAAAATCAAATTGGTATCCAATATACAAAATCAATCATCCTCTTGTTAAAACTTACCTTCTGTACTGAACAGGGACAATGTCAGCGGCCGCGCGAGCAATAGAAGCAAACGCCGGAAGAGAAAGGTCGAAATGCCGGCGAGGAAAATTACACCATCCACCATCGTCGGAAGAGAGGCCGTAATTAGGCGCGCAGAAGTCGACGGCGGTGACGACAACAGAAGGGCTTCCACGGAGACAATAGAGTATGTGATCGACGCATCGGAGCTCAAAGCAGGATCCACAAACGCCTCCCCGCCGGAATAGCTCGCCGCTCACCGCCGCCGTCTTCCTCCCCAACTCCCACATCCATTCCGGCCGCTCCTCTGCTTCCAAGCTGTAGCCGCACGCTCCTCCTCCCGCCTGGGAGCCCCCTCTGGTGTATGTTGCGGTGGCTAAGATCCATTGATTCTCATTCAGACTTCTTCCTGTTGTTAAGGAGAAATAGAAGGAGAAGAGAAGAATGGCTGCGATGTTAGTCGCCATGGCGGTCGAAGAGAGGGAGGGAGAGAGGGAGGGAAAAATGGTTTGGTTATATATGGTGTTGGGATTGGTGTGAGTGGAGGAGTAGGGCGGAGAAAGGGGGCAAAGTGGGATTTTTGCTCGGTCTTCAGGCTTTCTGATTTTTTTTTTTGAACGTTCTCATAGACTCTGCGTGGTCGCGTTTAAGGCTTATGGGTGGTGGGCCGTGGGGGTGGAACAACTTTTATTACGTCCGTGTACAGTTACATTTGGCCGGCACTAAGATCGTAGGTACAAAACGAGAAATACCGAACAATATCAATAATAACGAGAAATATTATTACATGAAGATAAAATACAGAGTAATACCGAGCAATACCGAGTAATCCTAAAAAATACTAAGTTTTTTCTAGAAAAAACTCGGTATTGGTCGGTATTGCTCGGTATTGATCTTCATAGAGTGGTATTCCTCATTATTACCAAACAATACCTAGCAATACCGACCAAATACCGAGCAACGAGAAATATCATTACATGAAGATAAAATACAGAGTAATACCGAGCAATACCGAGTAATCCTAAAAAATACTAAGTTTTTTCTAGAAAAAACTCGGTATTGGTCGGTATTGCTCGGTATTGATCTTCATAGAGCGGTATTCCTCATTATTACCAAACATCACCTAGCAATACCGACCAAATACCGAGCAAAAATTGAGTAACAATCCTTTGACCGAACGTAGAGCTACGTCCGATCAGAGGACGTAATAAAAGTTCGTGGTGGTGAGGAGAGGAATTAATTAAATAATTAAATGCACCTATATAAGTATATAACTATATTCATGTTCAATCCATGTGGGAGATTAAATGCAAATGATTTTTTTTTGGGGTTAAATGACCAAATTATCCTTTTATTTTCACATGTAGGAAAAATATAGAGTTAAAATTGATAATTAAGTAAAAATTATATTTATATTTATACTTTTCTATTTTAGTTTGGTGTTGAAGGGTAGAATAATAATTTTATATGAATGTGTTTTTTTTTTTTTAATAAATGCTAAAATATTTCAATCTTCGATTAAGCTGAAGTAAGAAGAAGAAGAAAAGATAAAATATAAAAAACTTTGTTTAAGAGGTGATTGACATAATAAATTGTGACCAATATAATTGAGATATAATTTTTTTTATAATAGTTTAGGAAATTTAATATATTTTGGTATGTAAGTTATGTTAGATGATTTGATAGCAATTGCCCCCTTTAAAAAAAATTATTAGATGATTTTTTAGGTAATTTATCCCTCTCTACTTATTTTTTAGTCTTTATTACTAAAGTTTTTTTTTCAATTATTATTCAAAATGTATAATATTAAATATAAGTGTTGCGTCCTGGAGTATTTGCAACGGTAGAGAAATATAAAATTTAACGTCATAGCGTTATACGAAGATCCAACACACAATCAGATAAAAAGTGAGGGTCTATAATTCTTAAAAGACCAAAATTTTTAAGTGAAAAACCATGAAATTTTATAGCTATCATGAATGATTTTTAGAATTTAACATAAATTTTTACCAGGATTTTTTGCCACAAAGCAAGAGTTTTCTTATAAGCCTAATTTTTTTTGGGCCCCTTGTGACTACTCCACCTGCTCCCTATATTAATATATTATCTTCTTATAAACCATGAAGAATTTGTTAAGGCATGAGAATATAAAAAGAGATAAATTGCATAATGAGTCAAAAATAAGTAAAATTATATAAATATATAAGTTAAAATACTTCTCTCTTCATTTTTTAATTGCCCATTAACTATATGAGATTTAAGCTACATTTGGATAACTTTTTTATTATTTTCTAAAACAACTTTATGCTATAAAAATTTCTTAAACTAAAAATTTTATACTAAAAACCGTTTTAGAAAGCGGTAAAAAAATTATTCCAAAAGAAATCTTAATACTCGAAGAAAACATAATGATATGATATCCAAGTCATCATGCATGAAAATTCACAGAAAGTAATAATACATATAATGCTTCAATTTATTTTCTCCATAAAATACAATATAAATAATAATAACCATTTTATTTACAAAAACATCATATATTATTTCTTTCTTGTCATAGATTTTATTATTAACCTTTGTGGAATAGGTTTTTGTAATACTGCATCAAATAATGGATAGCTGCCCATATGATAGTTAAATAGATTATGCTCAACACAAATAAACAAATAAACATACAAACCTACACAATATAACCATTCAAAGAAGCTTCAAAAATAAACATATGGAAGAAGTGCGAGGAGCAAATGACTCGCAGTTGCAGAATAGTCTTAGATTTCGTTTGTGACAGCTTTCTTACTGCTTCTTAAAGCAGCTTTTTAGTAAAAAAAAATATAACTTTTATAAAAAAGCTACTTTAAGAAGCAGTAAGAAAACTGTTCCAAATGAAACCTTAATTCCATCAGAAGCAGAAAGATGTCAACTCACCATAGAAACTACAAGAAAACACTTTCTAAAGCAAAAACAAAAAAGCTTTCTGGTTGTTTATCAGAATCAGAAATTATCATATTATTCCTAATGAAATTTTTTGAGGAATAACTTTGTAGAAGGATAGCCGAGGAGAAAAGTCTGTAAGAACCAACCTGGAGCATTAGCAGGATCCTTTCTCCTTGCTAGTAACCAAATATAGATGGCCTCAGAAATATGCAGAGCTGCGGCTATATAAAAAACCAATCTGAGGTTGAAAACTGAACGGAAGAGAAAAAGAGAGAGAGAATTCAGCCATCTCAGAGGTCCACAGGGGGTTAGAAAGGCCGTGTAGAACAATGCTAGCATTCCACCAATGCAAAAGATCCAGAACAAAATGTTTGGTCGGTTTATTTCTTTCTGTTTCCTGTCTTTCCAGTAGGAGATTGTTCTGTTCAAGCCCTCATGAGGACTTACCATGGGAACATAGCCAAGCTCTTCCGTTGCTTTCAGATGAGAGAAGTAATGAGTCACTCCAATCTGTGGGATAAATATGTTGGAATTTATGTAATAAATGTATAAATTATCAAAGATGATGCACATATGATATTGCGGTATGCAGATTACGGGTATGTTTGGAACAACTTATTTATTGCTTCGCTTTATAAAAAATAAAAATAGGACCTTTTGGGGCGCTATGATAGAACGGAGTTACAAAAACTTTTTCTTCCCACAGATATTTCTTTTAACTGATGAACACCTCCCGCATTCCGCAGCTTCCTGCTGTTTCGACCTTGAAAATGATGTAAACGCCCCCAAAATTGTGCGAAAAGGTATGTGCTTCTCCTTCGACCATTTCCGTGATTCCCATCCTCATCTTCACTATTGCCGCTCTCCTCGCAATCTCTCCGCATTATGTCCTCCATTCTGTTGATCGGAGATCGCTCATAAGCAAAGGGGATTCTTACACTGATTTTGAACAGGTTCATCTTCCATTATAGTTAAAGTATAGTGTAGTATAGTGTGGTATAATATTGTTATAGTATAGTACAATATTATACAGTATAACTATAGTATAGTTATATTATAGAATAGTATGGTGTAGTTATAGAAAAATAATGTTTAGTATAGTGAAGTTATAAGTTATAACATAGTATAGATATAATATAGTATGCAATTGTGGTATAGTATATTATAATAAAGTTGTAGTATAGTATAGCATACTATAGGATAGTATAAAATAGTTATAAATACAATAAAGTTATAGTATTGTATAGTTATAGCATAGTATAATATAGTTATTGTTTAGTAAAGTTATCGTATAGTATAGTTGTAGAATAGTATTATAATATTATAGTATAGTAATAGTAGAGTATAGTATATTATAGAAATGTATAGAATAGTTGTAGTATGGTATAGTTATAGTATAGTTATGGTATTGTATGGTTTTAGTATAGTATAGTATAATAAATTTATAGTATAGTATAATTTAGTTATAGTATGGTATAATATAGTTATAGTATAGAATAATGTAATATAGTAGTAGTTTAGTATAGTATAGTATAGTTGTACTATAGTACAATATAGTATAGTGATAGTATAATATATGTAGAATAGTTGTAGTAAAGTATAGTTATAGTATAGTATAATATAAGAAAATGAGATTCTTACACTGATTTCAAAGGTTGGTGTTTTTTGTCTTTGTGTGATGCCCTTCATATTATCACGCATTCACTATTAGGGAGGTGGTGTCCAGGAATTGTGTTGATAGTGCAGGGTAGAAAGGAAAGGGTGTTTCTGGTACTAGTGGGAATTGGAGGTCCATGACGATCTATTTCAATTTCTCAATTTCGAATCAACGAATTGGAGGTAAATATGCTTTATGTTGATTGGTGTTTCAAGTTGTGGGCTGTTTGAAAACTAAAATTTGATTAACAATAGTTTTCAAATCCCTTGAACTGGTACAAGATTTCTGCCCGTGAAGAGTGGGAAAAAGGTTCGTCCCTAGAAAGTAATCTACAACTTAAGATGTTTTGCAAAATTTAACTAGTTTGGCCTTTTGCAATCCAAATAACCATTGGCGGGAGAAATACTAGCTAACGGCCATTAAAATTTAATTATTACTTTTATTGATTAATTTGTTCCAATTCTTTTCAGTTGCTCCTATATTTATATTTGAACTACATTTTGTTTGATACTTGTGGTTGGGATACATAAAGATGCAGATGCTGTTTACTGTTAACAGATTTGTTTTAATGAACTTTTATAATGGCAAACAAATCACCATAGATTGTTATCATGCATCAGTATCAGGCCCATCAATGAAAATTAAAGTTCTGTGAATTATTATCATGCATTGCAAGACACAATTATCCTAAAATTAAAGTTTCTAAAACCAAACTCAAGTTTAAATTAATGAGTGCTTACTTTTGAGTGTATATATATATATAGATCAAATCTTATCATAAATTTATAATACAACAATTAAGAAGTTAGATGGGTAAACCTAAGGATATATTGTCCAACAACACATTTCAATAAAGAGGATTGGATGAACTAAAGAAGAATTTTCAAGAGAAAACCGGAAGACAGTATGATAAAATATAGCTGAAAAATAAATGGGATCAACTAAGAAAAGATTAGAAATTATGGAATGAACTGAAACGAGCATCAACTGGATTGGGTTGGATCCCAAAAGAAATACCATTGATGTGTCTGATGAATGGTGAAAAGAAAAATTAGAGTTGAAAATTGATCGCATATATGTTTATATATTTGTCTCTTTCAAACTTCATATTATATTCCAATTATATAAAATGAATTTTGCCTTGTAGGTTGTTTCAAATGCCAAAAAAATTAGATATTATGGCATGGATCTCGAATTTGAATATAAGCTTGATTTGATGTTCATGGGTATTGTTGCTATTAGTGTTCATACTTAGACTCTCAACTACGGGTTGACCATGAAAATATTCGTGGAGATTCTAAACAAGTTGATACTTCTAGTAACTCTTAAAAGATCCTTCATAAAATTTCGATGACATTAACAAGTGTAGCCATTTGAAACGTCAACCCCCACAACTTGCACTATTGGCAGGAAAAAAAGATTTGAATATGGATTTCTACGAACTCAAATTATCCAGCTCGTCGATGCATGCACAAACATCAATTCAGGAACATTGCATCACAATCAAGAATTGAACTACTTTGCTTTTAGCTGCCATTAAAGTTCTTGATCAAGCTACACAAATATTTAATGACATGCCACTTTACTTGTTCGCCACAAAGCTTCTTGAAAATCCAATTAAGCTAGAAGGTTTTATGGCAATTTGTCCTGAACAAAGAGATCATTATCTTCGTTGCTACTACAAAAATCGTGGTGCAAGAATATCATAGTTTCATAGGTTTTCATAGTCAATACCATAGTGCATATTTTGCAGTGAATGAATGCATTTGTTTTTATTTTGACTTTTCCTTGGAATAGACAACAGAGAATGATGCTTCTTATTTTATATTGAGATAAATGATATCTGAAAATTGAATTTGGAGTTATTATTTTTATGATCCTCATTTGCATCAATTCTGAATTCCAAGGCCTTAACAGAGATCTATGATTCTCATTTTTATAAGATAAATAACCTAACAAGGAATATATGATGGGAAAACAGGCACTATAAACAATTAAACTAATTTGTGCAAAATAAAAGAGCAAGGTATCATGTTCAATTTCTTCATAAACTTTTAACAGGTTCACATGTCTGAATAAATTCTTATACAAATGGTAGTTATTTCTATCACATAATACCAAGTTGATTGGTGGGTACGCACACTTAAATATACACTTAATGTGCAGGCATATGCCAAATAGTGCCATAGTTAATATGTTCCACCTATAACTAGTCATTACTTAATAGTACATGATACCACTACTACAAATCCTGTTTCTGAGATATACAATTGTTAAGATTGTTAAGTTGTAGAGCCTGATAAACGCCGTATGGAGAAACATCTTATGCAAACTTAATACTGGATCAACATTTCTAATATTTGAGAGTCGTTTAATTAAAAGTGTTAAGATGCTTTCACTGTAATTTTCGGCTGCCATATATTTTCATTACATAGGTTTACTGCCTTATATTTTCATTATAGGATATATGAGAGATTGTGGTTGTAAAATTATCTGCAGAACTCCACCCTTGTTATCATGGTGAAGTCTATAGCAAAAGCTGCAGCTACAATTGAGCAAACCTGCATAAAACTTTTGGTGTGTTTTATATGTTTAACTTCTTTTTTTCAACTTCTTTCTTTTTTATTTACTCTTGATGGTTTGAATTAGGTTTCACCAAATTTTTAACAGAGATCACAGGAATCTTGAGTAAAATTAAACAAGGAACGAATTCTCTGAAATATACTCGATTTTGCATTCAAAAGAGATGGCAGTCGAATAAAGAAACTAGCTGACAAAAAAAAATCAGCAAACTGAAATGATGAATAAACCAAGAAGGCAAATGGCACAGATAAGTCCAACCACACCATCTTTCTGTAATCTACTTATGCAATCATGAAGCTTCAAAGGAAAAAGGATCATTATCTTCTAAGTAGGACTACATGTCACGAATCCAAGTCAGAATCTTATCTATTGAAGGATACGTAAATTAAAACAAAGTTACCCTATTGAATTTATCTAAGAAGCTAGTTAGTAGCGTAAATTATCATGCGACGACCATGTTCTGACAGCCACTCAAAGTTTATACTATATATATCTTCTTGAATCTTACCAAGAAGAATTTTTGCTGAAGCCAGAATTGCACATGCAAAATTTTCTCCTATAATAAAAGAAGCTAAACATAACACCATCTTAGCCCTTTTTGAACGTGACATATAAACTAACACCAACTTATCAAAAAACATTGAAAGAATGAGGTCCATAAATACATCTAAAATCACACGATTTCAAATATTAAAAAAAAATTATGAAAAAAGCGAATCCATCCTCATGATATATATGGACATCTGACCTTGTAAACTTCAGCAGGAAGAAGAAGAGGCCCAGGAACCCATGGCTGATTCAGAAAAGGATAAAACAACATGGATATGAACCAGAATATTTGAGACAGAATGAGTGCAAGCCTGACATGGATGGTCAATTTTGGTACATTATAGTCCAGGCTCTTAAATAGAGGACTGATGATGGAATCAAAAGTGTTGACAGGTGATCCTACAAATTCAAAAAAGTCACCAGATAGAAAACATGACGTTGCAATAAAGCCAAAAAGACCAGGTTGAAATTTATTTTATAAGCATTAATTAAACTATGGCATAGTATTCTCAAATAAAGTCAATTTGGATGCAATTATTATTAAAAACATCTTGTAAAGCAAATAAGATATATATCATTAATCCATTAGTTTATGCGCCGATTCTGAATCTATATACTAAATTAATTATTGCAAGATAAAGTATCATGGCATATGTAAGTGCTGTGCTTACAAGTCATGAATCAACTTTAACTTACAAATAGAGAGGTAAGACTGAAAACCTAGCAAGAAGATTAACTATATAAGTGAAATTCATATAATAGCAATTTAATGTACTTTTATAATACTATGGTGCATGTGAAATGATGGTATGTAGGTAAGCATTTCCAGGGCGTAGCACAGTAGTCATCTCATAAAACAATCTAGCTAAACAGACAAAAAATTCTTGTTTGGTAAGTTCATGTTCAAAGTACAGGGAAACTCTTAATAGGGAAATCAATCTTCAAAAAGTTCTACAATTGTTCCATGGTGTTAACTACCCTGAAAACTACAACATAATTATACCAGTACTATATAATTGAAGAATAAGTTTAACAGTTACAAATACATTCGCTCTAACAACTTCAGATAAAAATAGCGAGGTAATCAAAGCAGTCCATATCTGCAACAACAGAAGAATTAGCAATATTTGATTAAACATGATTTAACATATGGCCAGTAAACAGAACATAAACTTACATAATATCATTGTAATCTCACTTGTCCATATATAAAGCTATAGAAGACATAACCTGGTAGGAAGAAACATAACCTAAGGAGGGAAACAGGACAACACCATCATTAACAATCATATTTCAGTAACAGAAATAACCATTTTATTCATGAATCGGGTTGCCCCAATAACATACCAGAAATTTGTGGACAAAAAGTGAATTCATTTCCATTGGGACATTATTTTCGTAGTGTAAGGATAATCTGTGACTTGCTTAAATCAACATAAACCTGTCTGTCAATTATTAAATGAGAGGCCAATCTTTCCATTATGATGTGAAATTTAACATCTAGATGTTAACCATTTACTACTATTAATGGTAAAGCCTACAAAAATACTTGATTAACATGGACAATGGAAATGATTTCCTAAGGTTACCTGATGACAGTGTTTACAGCATAATATCATGCTCATAAAGCTAACCACAAATATTTGGTATAAGACCAATCATAGTGACGATGATATAGCATACAACCATGCTAAAACAATGAAAAATAATCTAATCTATATATAAACAATAGAAAATTACCATAATGAACCAGATAAACCATTTATTCACAAAAAAACAGCTATAGTACTCTTGCATTAGAACATAATTCAATATGCATGACCATCTCTTTACATGGTGCACTGGAAATAAAAGCTAGCTTTCATCTCAACTTAATGATTCATAAAACTCATTGGCTTATGTTCTGTTTCCTTACCGGGAAAATCAAGACAAGCAAGTTCTAGAGGATTGCAATTTATGAAATTGAGCCTGCCATAAAAGTTGTGTTTTTCCGTATGGTGTTGTGTCTAACATGGAACTAGTCTGAATTGAGCAACAATTCAAGTATTTTATGATAAGCTTCCTTGAATTAATCTTTTTGTATGAGCTGAATTACTACCACATTATAAAGAAAAAACACTGGACAGTATCGGCTGTTTTAAGGATTGGTTAGTACCATCAGATATGAAATAAGCCTGTCCAGCAGCAATGGGATTTCCTTCCCTACCAGAGATGTCATCTAGAAGGCCCACACTTGCCAATATAAGAGCTTGCACAAGGTTGTCCACATAAACCCAATCTGTTTTCACACTTGCATCACCAACTCTAACGAATAAGAGACCTATCTGTCCAAGGGAGAGTATCCTTGCAAAGTACCTCTCCTCCCCAGGTCCATAAATAGCAGCAGGACGAATTGCACAAGTATGAAGATGAACATCACTTTGTTTCCTAAATTAAAAAACAATCAGCATAAAATACGAAGAATCTTGAGGATCTTCATCAAAGAAGGGGAAAAAAGTGTATCAATTCCCATTTTAGATAGTGCATAGTTGCAGCTTTAACTTACTGAAAATGCAAAACCTGAGAAAGATGGACTATTTACGAAAGCTATATGGAAGGATCGCTGTGGTTGGAGATGGTGGTTTCTCCATATCATAGGTTCGAGTCGCATACTTTGCGAATTATTCCAAGAAAAAAGTTATGTAGCTACAATTTAAAAAAAAACAAAGCATTCATAGGAATGTGTTTAGACAACCTGTAGCTTGTTTAGACAAACTGCAGCTTGATTTTAGCTATATTTTAAAATCAATAAACAAAATATTCTTTTATTAATGGAATCTTGTCTCATATTAACACCATTTAGCTAGGATGATATATTAGTAAGGGTTTAAAAATGGGGTGGTATAACAATTATTATAAAATTTTGATAGTAACTAATAGATATGAAAGTTAGTAGTGCCATTTTCCAAGATAGTATCATAAAGCATAAACAAACATTGCTGAGCTCACCCACCAACAGGGGTGTAAACAACTCGAGTCGAGGGGTACTCGATCCCGACTCGTCTGTCAAATAACGAGCTCGAACTCGAGTCGAGCTCGAGCTCGACTCACAAAACATAAATGAGTTGTCGAGCCGCCGTTCTATTTGGTTTTCCACCCTCAATTCGCAGTTTCCCATAGACACTATCTCGACTCGTGAGCTCGATAAGCTCGGCTCGTGAGCCAATAAACAAGTAGAGCCCGAGCCGGCTCGCGATCCGGCTCGGCTCACTTACACCCCTACTCACCAATGAAGTTAAGAATACAAAGGCCTTAACAAATATGCCAACGGGTCCTGGAATGGACTGGTTAACTTGGATCTCCTGCTAATAACCACAGTGCCAGTTTAGTTGCATGTTAGTGTGAGAAAATGGCACTTCTTATCTCTTAAAGTGGAAGATGAGGAAGTAACCTCTAAAAGTATATTTTTAGTTGACTAGGGAGGTAAAAAATTCCATTATTTATTATTTGGTTGTGCAATGAACATAGGAGTTCAGCATTAGACAACTATCCTTTTCTAAGGATGAAGTTCGTTATTACTTGCACAACGTATGCTATATATCAACCAATTTGAATGGCTAAAATTTAAAGATGCTACAAGCAAATTTCTTACATTCCCAATGATCTTTAACTAGTTAAAATCTTAGATATTAAAATGCAATATAATTCATCAATGAATTTGGAATTCATTCTCTAGTTCCTTTTTTTCCTACATTCTGAAATAGGCTGATTTGTCTGATTTTCAAATACACTCTAAATTCTTCGCCACTCACTATCATTAGATAGCCACGGCCATAGTAGCCAACTGCCAGCCACCACCACTTATCACCCCGTCGCCGTTGTTTCCTGTTTATATTGAATTCATTTTACTTCAAATCAATTGCAAAAAAAAAAACCTCTTGTATTTATTTTATACTCAACAAAACAATTTTAAAACATTTCAAATACACTATTTTACATTGCATTCATTTTTTAACAAAGCAAACACTACATTCATTTTTTACCAAAGCAAACAACCTCTTAATCAGTCCAAGAAATAGAAGTAACATGTAACATGCAAGCATGCATGAATTCACATATTCAATGAATTTCACAGTTTACTGTTTGCACTTATTTCATTCAAAAGTTTCTAACTGAATTATACATTAGAGGCGAAATATAAATTACTTTTAATACCACTGACCTCCTTCCCATCTATGGAAACATCAAAAAAGGAAAATGAAGTTCACGCCAGAAGAAGAAAAGGGGAAGCAATGCTTGTTATTATCTCCTTCCGAAACTTCCTCCAGGATCAACCCAGCAAACGTGGGATAACAAGGAAACTAGAAGGACATTTTACAAACTAATCAAGCATGCAAAGCAAGTGCTTGAGTTGTCTGCCAGAAAAGTTTCCAAGCTCAGTACTCCATCAAAACCTCTCTTCCTTCCATAAGCAGCCTGCCTGAGACCTTCCTCCAAAAAAACACACTAGAGTTTAGGATCATGGATGATAACTAGCTGCCGAGGTGAGGTTCAGCTAGTTAGATTGCGACAGCAATCTAAAGCTTCGATGAGATGAAGGTTTGCATATAATGATTGTCCATAACATAGAGAAAGGCAAACTCAGGACTCATAATAATCAATGTACTTGTTTGACTCCATTTTGTCACCAATCATGATGACCTTCATCAACCATTGAAGAAAATGACAACACCAATGATGGCACGGTCCACTTTGTCAAGAACGACCATGATAAGTCTGCTCTGTCATTGACCTCTATCCTACAACAACTTTACTAATGATTGATTATGTCTATACCATCTGTGATTCCATCAATGACCACACTATTGATACCCCTACACTGATGATCGCTCCATAAATGACCATATTTTTATGATTGTTCCGTTGGCTATCGACCCCTTTAAAAAATGAATATGCCAATGGATACTAATGGCCATTATGTGGAAATCACCTCGATTGATGGTGATTATTCTAATAATGACTCCATTGTTGATGACTCTGTTCTGTTCCGCTCCATCAACAAATGTCATGACAATCACGACATAATTAATGATTGCTCCATTGATACTCCACTAGGTTGACGACAACCATGCCAATTATGATTTCATCAATAGTCTATTGTCCTTGACTATTATGCCAAAGTTCAAGTAAAAACCCAAATTTTTATTTATTTAAAGAAAAAATAATATTAAAATTTATTATCAATTTAAAGATTTAATTGAGCAATCTCGATCAAATTAAATTAAAAAGGATTGACTTCTCAAAATAATTGAAAAACAAATAATTAAAGATAAATAATATAATTATTTTAAGAATAATTATAAGATTAAAATGAATTAAATTACTATAAAAATTTTAATTTATGATTTAAAATTTCTTAAAATTTATTATAATAAGTATTACTTTATACTTGAAAAAAATACAACATAATAAAATAAAAAAGGGGTAGGCTCAATCGAATCGGCCCAAAAGGGAGCTTGATTGCACTTCTTTAAGTAGGCTAAAGAAGTGAAAAGAGAGAGATTGAGCGGGAGATAGAGATGGGAAGAGAGCTAGAGAAATATCGAGAGAGGGAAAGAGTATGAGAGTGGACGATGGAGAGGGAGCAAGTGATCAGACAAAAGGAGAGAGGGAGAGGGAGTAAGAGACTGAGCGAGTAGAGGAGAGAATCGAGCGAATGAGAGAAGCAAGCAAGCAAAGGAATCTAGCCTAGTGGAACGTGAGTAACTAAGCATGCAACCGCGCGTGGAATGAAAGTTGTAAAGTTTCTTCATTCTTCAATGAAATTTATTTTGTCATTAGTGTACATTTATTAGTTTTCCAAAAATTGGTTTAATGGTTTCTTTTGAAAGTCTATGGACTAGGGTAAAAAAATATGCTAAATTTCCTTTTTAGGAAAAAATGTTAGTTTTTGTGAAAGATAGGTCAAGGATTTACTAGAGAAGAATTATCTATGTTGGAGATGATTTTAATAAAGAAAGCCTTCATTCTTAGAATGGAATTATATAGTTATCATAAAATTATAAATTAATCAAGCCTTTAATTAAGTCAAGATATTAATTTCTTTACATAGAGAGTAATTTAAGTATTACTTAAAAAGAAAAAAGTCCATGAAGTCTTAAATGATCGTGCATGCATATACATAAAATCAATAGTAATTAAGTTATTAAAATATGATGAAATATTAAGATATGTTTGGGTATTAAGGAATTCAAATGATTTTTATTGTGTATGTCTTGGAATTGGATTTTGGTTTTAGGTGTGTTTGGTTGCAAGAATTTAGAATTCAGGGGTTTTAAACTAAAATGTAAAACAAATACATAAATTTTAGAGATGCATAAGTTGTTTGGTTGGAATTGGAATGTTAAGATTTAATCGGCCATCGAGCAAGTGTCTTCCTTAAAAGTATTTATTTCATGAAGTGAAAACTCCAACAAACTCTTTCATAATGAAAACTCCATACAAAAGGACTAAAATCAACCAAGAATTAGTAATCATTAATGGACCATATTACAATAAAATGAATGTATGTTTTTAAATCAAAATTTTAATAATCTTTTAAGTCGTTCAAGCTCTCTTCAAGAGTATCTGATTTGGGATCGTGCATGAGAGTCTTGGAATTCAAATGATTTTTATTGTGTATGTGTCTTGGAATTGGATTTTGGATTTTTAGGTGTTGTTTGGTTGCAAGAATTTAGAATTCATAGGGGTTTTAAATAAAATGTAAAACAAATATAAATTTTAGAGATGCATAAGTTGTTTGGTTAGAGGCAAATCAAATGCACTTGTTGACCTGTATACTAAATCCAAGGGAAACAAAAAAAAAAAGAGAGAATGTTTGGTTGGAGGCAAATCAAATGCACTTTTTTTTTTTTTTGGCTATGATGCATTTTAAATACATGCATTTTAAAAATATGACAATCAACAGTGGAAACAGGAGGCAACAAACTGCAGCGACGGGGCGTGGTGAGTAATGACATTGGGAGTGGTTATTAACAAGGGGGGCAGCTAGTGATGACAGGCACCGGCTAGTGGCAGCCTCGAGCAGGGTGAAGTGGATTCCAAATGCAAGAACACATAACTTTGGATTTATTTTTCATCTAACCAAATATTAAAATTTTCAAAATCTTTGCATGCCTTTTACTCTACGCTTGAAAGTACTTCAAACCAAACAAGCCCTTATACTGATATTTAGTCGAGGAGATGAAGACATAGTTGGTAAATAATACGTGCAAATCTTAAAGTGGATTAGCTCATTTCAAAATTGGAATTTTTTTCTTCTAAAATATTGCATTTAATCGAAATGTTTATGGTTCATGCTATTTTATAAGAGTAAGACGAGTATTATTGCAATAAGATTGCAACTTAAATAATATGCAATGACTTCTCTCATACAAATAATCTTTCAATTTGCTTTGAATGAAGCATGTTTTTATGTTATATCTCAATTACTAATGCTATATATTGTAGTGCATATTAATAATAGATTTTGTTTGCAGAGATGAATGAAAATAAAAGAGATCAAAGCATGCCAATATGTGCATGTTGAAAGAAGTCAACCACTAATTGTACTAGATAGGGATGCTAATGTACTCGCACATTAATATCTTCTACTTTTCCACCTTAAATAATGATAGAAGTATCCATGCATCGTTATGCCGACAGGGGATTCGTAGGCTAGGGCAAAGTTAGGTGCATTGCCACATCATATAATGTTAGACATGATTCATGTGTTGTTGTGCTGATGGGGGATTTATTGGTTGGAGCTAGTTAGGATTACAGTCAATGCTCCCGCGATAAATGCATTAAGTATAGACTAGAGTATAAGTTATGATATGAAAGTCAATACATAAGCTCTTAATGTCAAATAGAAAGCTATGACTTCATTATCGTAAATAACTTTGACTATTAAGCAATATTTATTACCATATTTTGTTATTGAAATAAAAAGCCATGTTATATAATGTCTTTACAACTTAAAAATGATGACTACCATGCATATTATTTCTCTTTCTTTTGAATTATTGTGATTTAGACCTGTGATATACCCATTGAGTTATATTTTTATAACTCACCCTCTTAAGCTAATACAAAATTTTCAAGTAAATCTCCAATAGAATAAATGAATGATTGAAAGAATTTTGCTCACGATAGGCATGGGAAATCTAAATATTAGGTACTAGTGTAGTGTTGTTAGTTGTAAAGAAAAAAACTAGATACTTTCTTCTCAAATTAGTCCCTGGGATTATCTAGGATCAATTTTGTATGGTCAAAGTACTAAATTGGAGAAATGTGATACTTTGGAACTAAATAAGTCACAAACAAATAGTCAAGAGATTATTTTGGACTTTTTACCCCAAATAAATAGTAGTGCCATATATTTATTGCATAATATAAGCAAAAAAAAAAAAAGTTTTCTATTAGTAAGAGTTCAGCTAAGTTCATGAAGTTAGGTGTTCGAACCAAACCTCCAATATTACATTATTTAAACTTGAAGTGCTTTGTGGTGATCAGTAGTGACTATAGTGGAGATTTTCAATGATAAATGAGTTCATGGACAGACCCTGTAACTACTAGGGTTAAACTATTTAAGCTTATATATATTACAACTTTTACAGGATTAGGCTCATGACCTTAAGGGTTGGCTCAACACACTTAATGAACCTAAATGTCATCAAGTTCATTCAAACTAAGGAGAGCATCCCACTCCTCTACATGTCTAAATAAAGATCAGGGAGGCCCTTGGGATAAAGAAATTGTTCCTAGCATAACATGAATACCAAGATTGCCCCTTCTATCCTGAAACTTGTCCTACAAGCAACGAGTGTAAGAGAGTTGTTGAGATGTGGGGCACATAATTGCATGTTGAGAAATATCTGAATAAAGCTTTTATCATAAAGCAACTAGTAAAGGTTTATTTGTTTGCTAGTAAATAGATAACATGTTTTTTAAAATGATAATAGGATTAAGTTTGAAAGAAAAATCATCAACTTCAAGAGAGTTTTCATAAGATTTATAAAGTTTAAAATTACTATTAGTGCCTGACTCCATCCAACCAAATGATGGATTTAAGAAACTTCATCATTTTTTAATCATGATTTCTAACTTTGACAACCAAATTATCTCTAAGCTAAATCTATCGATGATATTGACATTAGGAACTCCTCACTTAAATATTTAAGCAGAATATCATCCCTGTCAATAAAGCATGCTTAATGGTTACTTGAGCCAATGAATTTTGAGGAAATAAAATACTAGAACACGTAGGAAATGAATAGTAGGGAAGAAACTAACTCCGATGGACGACCATTACTCTTCAAGACAAGCTGTTCTGCAGTGGACATGCTACGTCCGTATGGATCTATGTGTTCGTCAATGGGATAGTATGGTAGTGATTCATTTCCATTAATAATCTCCTTTCCTCCAAATACAACATTATATGTGCTCACATAGACAAATCTCCGTATCCCAATTTCATGGCACACATCCAATACATTGCAGGTTCCATTTAAATTGACTTCCTCAATAAGACCAGTTTGAAGCATCTCCTTGCTTGACATACCATAAGAGGCGAGGTGGAAAACACAATTTACTCCTTGTAGAGCTTTCTCCATATCCTTTTTCTGAGTCACATCACCTGAAATTAAAAAAGACTAAACTTAGATGTTTAGTGGTAATTAAATGCTATAAGAAAGACCACTCCTTTATATGACATCCTAAACTCCATTCAAAATCTATGAAAAGATGTTGCATTTTAATTTCTAATATCCCTATCATTTCAAATTCATTGCAAGCACTATGCTTTTCATCATTCTTTCTGAGCATTACTCTTTTGCGCATTCAGATCAAAGTTTTATATCTTGTTTTGGTATTTATTTTAGACACATAAAATTTTTAGTTCTGAATTCTGATATTTTCATCTGTTTCAATATCAGTTCAGCTTTTATTTAGGTTAACTTTTTAAAGCAAATATTTCTATAAAAAAATTAGTGTTATAACACATAAAATTTGTTAGTCTTAGAGATAAAATTTTAGTAATTTTGATGATAACTGGAGAGCTTTAAAAAAGTTCCATTTCAAATCCATGAATTTTGAGTGAAAATCATGAGTTTCATATCGGCTGAAAGTTACTAGTTTCATCTGAACATCTTAAAATTCATATGGATTCTCTTAAGTTCAACTAAAACTCCTAAAATCAGCCAAAATAAACAAAAATTAATAAATTCTGGATCCGTTCAACTGAAATTGATCTTGCCACTGAACCCACAGAAACTTTAAACCATGATTCAGGCATGCTACATATATTATGTGATTTATAAGACATGCTCTAAATTGATAGCATTAGTCAACATTGCAAATTAAAATCCAAGTCACATGTAAAATTCATCCATTATAGATATATTTGCATCTTTGAAAGAAAGTAAAAAACTCAGGCGATATACACAAAAAGGGAGCAGAAGATTGGCTGGATTGACAAGTTTGGCATTTTGTTTTAAGTTCATCATCATTGTAGTCAATTGTACTATCATGACTATGACCATGACCCTTCATTAAGCCCTCCTTTAAATTTTGATGCCTTGATCCATTATTGCATCTATTGTTGTGTGCGTACCAAAGCGGATGTATTGGTAGCACCACCATCTTCTCATTTCGACTGAAAGTCACTAGTTCATCTGAACATCTTAAAATTCCTATTGATACTCTTAAGTTCAACCAAAACTCTTAAAATCAGTAAAAATAAACCAAAATTACGAAGTTCGGGTCGGGTTCAACTGAAATTGATCTAAAGTCACTGAACCCACAGAAACTTTAAACTATGATTCAGGCATGCTACATATATTATGTAATTTATAAGACATGTTCTAAATTGATGGTATTAGCCAACATTGCAAATTAAAATCCAAGTCACATGTAAAATTCATCCATTATAGATATATTTGCATCTTTTAAGGCAAGTAAAAAACTCTTGCAGTAGACACAAAAGGGAGCAGAAGATTGGCTGGATTGACAAGCATGGCATTTTGTTATAAGTTCATCGTCATTGTAGTAAATTGTGCCATCATGACTATCATGATGTTGGACCCTTCATCAAGCCTGCCATTAAATCGTGATCTCTAAACCTTTTGCCTTCATCCATTATTGCATCTATTTTTGTGTGCGTACCAAAGCGGATGTATTGGTAGCACATCCATCTTCTCCTCCCCCCACCCAAAACAAAACCACAACAAGGCAAACAAATTGGAGGGTTCTACATGGTTTTGCACATGAAAGTGGGGATGGAACACTCTAGAGGCACAACAGCACTGCTGCCTTGGAAGTGAGATAAAGCAAAAGCCATGTCATCACCGTAGCTTAGAAAATGATGCTTGTTGGAGAATTTTTGTATCCTCAAACGGATTGCATATTTTATAATCGGGCACGGCATAAGAATACGATATATTACCCCTGAGGGAAAAAATACCATTTTCTTATGGGCTCAATAATAAAATTTACAATTATTTAACAGAGATTCCTGATAGGAAACACTTGGATTTCCAAGTGTTTCACACCAAAACCAAATGGATCCAAGGGAAAACTGCTGTCCACAGCAGAAAAACAGCCAAAATACAAGAAAATCTGAGAGGAAAACGTAGGAGAGCACGTAGGAAATGATGCAAACACATTTATTTCGTTAACGGATGAAAAGCACTTGCAAGATACAACTTTCCTTCAATTCGAGAGGAAGGAAAAAACTCTCCGACAATCTCCGGCAAAGCCAAGAGCCAAACACACCAAACCCTAGATCTCAAGATAATTCAAAGTCAAGATGACAAGCTAATTCCCCCCAAACTCCTAATTATACAAAATTAATCATAAAGGACAATCATAAACTTCCTGAAACAGCCTTTCACGTTCAAAATTTCCCTCATAAACTCCCCCTCTCAAGCCTACGTGGATTCACGGCTCACGGCAGAGCCGTTTTCGCCCAGGCGGGCTCCCTCGCGTCCGTCTCGCGTAGACGCGGACCGATACCTGCTGAACCGGTCCAACCGGCCCATCCTGGGCCGGTCTAACATTACCGCCCTCCCAAAGAATCACCTTGTCCTCAAGGTGAAAATCTGGAAACTGCTGTTTCGCCATCTCGTATAGCTCCCACGTGGCCTCCTAGTCAGGAAGGTTCTTCCACTGGATCAACACTTCCTTAGTTTCATCTTCTTTCTGGCGAACACCCTTCAGCTCCAAAGGTTCCAGGATCACCTCTAACTCCTCCGTAAGTGTCGGCGGTAGCTCGGGAATGGCGATGTGATCACCAATGACCCTTCTCAGCTGTGAGACGTGAAAAA